AGCGCGAAGCTTATATAGCTATAGAATTCGATTACGCTAGCCCTATAGGAGCTACTTATCCCTATAATTATACTTACTAACTACGGCGAGTATATAAGCTAGTTAATAAAGGTAGCTTAGGGCTACGAATAGACGCCGCGTTTTTAAAAGCTCTATAAGCGTACGCCGTATAGCGGCGATAGGATTACCGCCCCTCTATAAGATAAATAACCGGCTATCGATATAGATAGGGATACCTTAATATTAGCTACCTATACGGACTAGGCTAGACGCGGTAAGAAGACGCCGTCGACTACCCCCTATACCGCCCTATACTCTAAGTAGCGGGCGAAGTAGGTAACGAGCGAGGAAATTAAGAAGAGAAAGGCTAACGGCCGCTACCTATATTACGGAGTATTTATATACTTTATATTAAAATACCCCTTCCTTTTAGCTAAGCGGCCTATAGCGGTTTAAGTAGTAAAGACGGAACCGCTCTTTACCTTAAACGACAAGGAGGACTCCGCCCCCTTAAGCTTAAAAGAAAAAGAGTAGCTTTAAAGTAAAGATAGGCTCTAAAGCCTTAATTACTAGTACTAATAAAGGAGAAGGAGGAATTATCTACTTATATAAAAGAGGAGCCTACTTTAATATAGGTTATAATTAATAACTCCTAGCCTATTACTACCCTTATAAATAAGGGCTGCTAGTACTACGCTATAGTTAACGAGGCGCTTATATAAGAGATATAAGTACTAGTAGAAAAGATCGCCCTAAGGCGAGTAAAGGGCGCCTTAGGCGTAATAGAGGGTATAGTAATTAAGGGTATTATATAGCTAGCTATAAAGGTTAACGGTTACTATAAGCTTATTATAGCCTATATAATCCCTTAACTAGAATTTCCCTTAATCCTCGGGAAACCTTAGTTATTATATATAGAGTTATACTCGGTTCTATATTAAAGGAAGCTATAGTTTTAGCCTATATAATAGTAGGTCTATTATAATAACGGTTTTATAAGCGTAGGACTAAGCGTACGAGCTTTATACTTAGTATAAGAAGTCCTTACCTTTATCTTTATAAGAACTATATAATAAGTAAAGCGGGGGCAAGGCTAGGTAGCGGCTAATATAGCGGTCTACGTAGTTAGCCTAGCGGATATTAATAAGGCCCTCTAGATAAAGAAGCTAAAGTCGCCTTCTAAGCTATAGTAGTAGATACTAGAGCGCTTTTACGACCTCCTACTACTATTTAAGTCCTAGGAAGTAGATAAGCTTAACCTATATAAGCTAGGGGTAGACTATAAGATTATACTCCGTACCGATAAAAAGGGGTAGGAACTACCTATACTATTTAAACTACTATATAGTATATTATACGCGGAGCTACTAATACTAAAGAAGACGCTAAGGGACCTCTTAGATAAAGGTTTTATTTAAGTAAGTAGCTCTAAAGTAAGAGCGCTAGTCTTATTTATATATAAACTAAGGGGTAGGATATAGTTTTATTATAACTATAGGGCTCTAAATATAATTATAAGGCTAGACCGCTACCCCTTACCCTTAATCTTAGATATACTCTATAACCTTTTAAAGGCAAAGTAGTTTATAATACTAAATATAAAATAAGCGTTCTATAAGGTATAGATCTTAAAGGGTAATAAGTAAAAGATAGTATTCTATATACGCTATAGCTTATTTAAGTAGCTTATAACGCCCTTTAGCTTCTTAAGAGCGCCCGCTACCTTCTAGTATTATATTAATAATATATTATAAGACTTCCTTAATAAGTTCGCTTTTATATATATAGATAATATCCTTATCTATATAAATAGCTCTTATAAGGACTATATATAAAAAGTATAGAGGGTCTTAGAACGCCTTTAACTTTATAGGCTCTACCTTAACCTAAATAAGTATAAATTTAAGGTTAAGAGGGTTAAGTACCTAGGCTTTACTATCTACGTAGGCATAGGTATATAGGCGGATCCTATAAAGATCTAAGCGATCTAAGACTAAGCGGCCCTAACTATATAAATAAGTATATAGAGCTTCCTTAAGTTTATAAACTATTATAAGATATTTATTAAGGGCTTCTCTTATATTATAAGTCCCTTAAATAAGATTACCGGGAAATAGACCGCCTTTTATTAAGGGCCTATATAAGAAGGAGCGTTCTATACGCTTAAGGACCTATTCTTATAGGCCTTAGTATTACTCTAGTAAGACTTTAACCGGTCTACGTTAGTCGAAGCGGACTATAGCGGCTAGGTACTTAAAGGAACGCTCTCTTAAAAGGTAGATAGGCGGAAGTAACTAATAGCGTTCTACTCTTATAAGCTAACCTTAGTAGAGCGGAATTACGCTATTTATAATAAGGAGATACTAGCGATTATTAGCTACCTTAAGTAATAGTAAGCGGAGCTCTAGAGCTATAAGAGCTTTAAAGTTCTTACGGACTATAGGAATCTTAAGTACTTTATAACCCGCTAGTACCTCTTAGAATAGTAAGCCCGCTAAGCGGAGTATTTCTTACGCTTTAACTTCTCGATTAAGTACCTGTCACACATAGGATATCAGCCTCCAACAGTCTGACCCCCTATTCGCACAGTCCGTTTCCACATTTCCCCACAGAAACTTCTAGGAGGCATCATCAACGCATCAGTGGCTTCCAGATGATCCGATCAGATGCTTCCATTCACTACCATTCCCTTCCATTCTCATATTCAGGCAGTCTATAAAGATCTCGCCTCTTTCCCACCTTAGATAGCAGAATCAAGAGTCTTCCAGTCCCTGATCTTTATGCCCACTTGCTCATCCTCCGTGCGATAGTTATGAGCCCGGTCTGCCACTGACTGGGTATCTTATTCTTGTTCACTCCGCTGCGCAGAATAGCTTCCACAATGAGCTCAGCTCTAGATCTTGATGGCTCTTCCAAGGGCACCGTGCTCAACGGCCCTTGCGACTGGAAACAATGGATTTCTATCATCAAGAAATTCGCCACGTCCCACAGTCTTTGGGACTTTCTGGACCCTGCCGTCAAGGAGGGTAAGCCGGTTCTTCAGCAGCCAGTTGAACCAACATTCCGACAAATCAACCACGAAGCATCTGATCTCGTGGATCTGACCTCGGAGGAATTTCGCCGTCTCGAATTCCTCCACACCCAATACCGCTCGAAGCTTCAAGGGTATAGGGATCAAGTGAAGGCACTCGCCAGCCTTCAACAACACATCGTCAAGACCATCGGCAACTACTACAGCACCATTGCCGAGGAACACGACGTTGCAAAGCAACTTGCCTTGCTTCAGGCTCGTGTGGCCCCAACCGACTGGGCACTCGAGAGGAAGTTGTTCAGCGTTATCGTTCCACCCTTCAGTCGCCAAACAGGACCAAGATCGAAGCTTGGGTCACCCAATGGCAGAAAGTCCTCACTGAGGCAAAGCAATTAGGGCTTCCTGATGTCCAGGACCTTCGCCCTACCCAAGATTTCCTACAGGCTGTTTCGTCCATCAACGCCCCATTCACAGACTATTGGGTCAACAAAATGGAAGACGAGGCCGTATTCGGCAAGCCTGAGTGGAAGACCGACTTCCCGGACGGCATTAAGATCAGTGAGATCTTTGAACGAGCTCACCGAATCAAGGCCGCCAACAACAGCAAAGGATCATTCGGAGCTGCCTTCCAAGGCAAGGAGAGAAATCGGAGAGGAAAGAGGACAAGCCTAAGTGGTCTTCAAGCAAGAACGCTGATGGTGTTCCTATGTGTGTCTGCGGAGAATATCACCGCTTCGTAGATTGCTTCTATCTCATCAAATCAGCTCGGCCTGATGGCTGGACTCCTGATCAGAAGGTTGAGAAGAAGATCAAGGAAATCCTCGACTCAATCCATGGGCAAAGAAGATGACGGAGAAAGCACAAGACTTCAAGAAGAAGGAAATGGAGAAATCGTCCGACTCCTCCGTTAAAGGCACAGCGTTTGCCGGTCTTCTACCAGCTCCTGACAACACACCGCCTCCTCAACACCTCCATCAACCAGTTTCTCGACGGGAAAGGCAGTCTACCCGCTGTATGACTCCTTTATCCTTGATTCCGGATCAGACACACACATTTGCAACAACCGATCCCGTTTTCTTGACTACACCGCCCTTGCAGAGCCAAAAGAGCTCTTTGCAGGCGATAGTCAACTTCAGATCCTTGGCTACGGCACAGTCCGTATGAAGCTTGAAGAAGGAGGACTTTTTCAGCTCAACGAAGTTGCCTTCGTGCCAAAATTCCACACCAACATCGCATCCTCGACCGCTTTCTTGCGAAGGGATACAACTGGAATCCACTATCTGGACGCGTCTCTAAAGACGATCAGATTATATTTCATACGAAACGCCGCTTTCGTCAACCGGTCATCGAGTTCAACCCGATTAAGGAGGACTCTCACGCCTCCAACTTCACATCTTCATCTGCACCTCGCGCAGTGAAAACAGCAGATGCTACGCTTTGGCATAAGCGCCTAGGCCACTTGAACGCTCAAGCCCTAGAGCGTCTTGTTGAGAACACGACGGGTTCGAAGATCAAAGGCCCAGTTACCATCGATTGCACCGCGTGTTCCCTTGGGAAGGGAAAGAAGGTCGTCTCTCGCCGAACCCCTCAAAACCGAGCCCCCAGACCATTCTGGAGAATCTACGTTGATATCTTCAGTATGAACACCTCATTCAACGGCAAGGAAGCTGTTCTTCTTATCAAAGATGAATTTACAAGCATGATCTTCATCTACCTTCTGAATGACGCGACACAAGGGTCCGTTATGACTGCTTTGAGAAACCATGAGGCAATGATTCAACGCCAATGGAATCTCAATATTTGCATTATCCACCGTGATAACGATCGTTCTCTTCAGAGTGCGTATGAGAGCTGGATCGAGGAAAAGGGATTCAAGATGAACCTTCTGCCCCTTACACTCCCGCTCAAAACGGCTCTGCAGAGCGATCTGGGGGGGTAATATCTGCCCAGGCCAGAACAATGGGAATTGATGCCAATTTACCATCTGATCTTTGGCCAGAGACTTGAAAGCAGCAGTGTTTTTGCACAACAGATCGCCCATGCAGAACCACAGCTTCGAACGCCTTTCCAGCTGCTTCATCAGTGGCTGCGAGACAACAACAGAGACATAGGCTACCAGCAAGACCAGCCTGACATCACGTTTCTCAAGGCATACGGCTGCAGAGCCTATCCCTTGACACCCCAGGCCCTTCAGAACAGACAGAAGAAGGACCTAAAGACCGACCCTCACACAGAAATCGGTTATCTCGTTGGATATGATTCCACGAACATTTTCAGGATCTGGATTCCGTCCACATCAGAAGTCCGAAGGGTCCGAGATGTGACCTTCAATGAAAGCATCTTCTATGACGGAAATGATCAGCCACCAGAACCTATCCCACAGCGCGTGGAAGTACAGCTTCCAGCCCACATCGAGGACGAGTCGGATTACGAGGAAATCCCCACTCAAATCGATGAACCTGAACCTGACCCCGTTGAGCAATCTCCCTCAACCTCAGACCAAGGAGACGCCACCACGATTGTGGTACAACCCGAACCATCTGATCATGAGGACTCGGATGATCAGGATGAGTTTCATGACATTCAGCACCCATATCCGACACCGGACCCCGGTCCGAGTGACTCTCAGCCACGGCGCTCAGCCCGCACTCCAAAGCCTCGCAAGCTCAGTGCTTTTCGACCAACACTAAGGGTCAATTCCACAGCTCTTTCTTTCTCGGCAGAGAAAAACTTCACAGACGACACCTTCCTCCCGAACCTACGACGTATAAGGAACTTCGCACCCACAGATTTGGTCCTCAGTTCAGAGAAGGAGCCCACGCCGAGTGGAAAGCACTCAACAGAGAGGAACCTTCAGAGCGGTCCCCAGAGACCAGGTCACGGGCAAGCTTTTGCCACTTACCTGGGTCTTTAAGTATAAGTTCGACAAGCATGGCTTTCTTACAAAGTTCAAAGCCCGTCTTTGTGTTCGAGGAGATCTTCAACAGCTAGGTGACAAGGACACCTATGCAGCAACCCTTGCAGGACGTTCTTTCCGGATTCTCATGGCCATCACCGCCAAATTCGACCTTGAGACCCGACAGCTCGACGCAGTTAATGCCTTCACAAACGCCCTCTTAGAAGACGAGGAGGAGGTCTATGTAGCCTTCCCAGACGGATACTACAGACAGGGATGGGCTCTTCGCCTCATGCGAGCCCTCTATGGCCTCCGACGGTCCCCTCTTCTTTGGCAGAAGGAACTCACTGCTGCATTCAGAGAGCTTGGTCTTACACAGTGTCCCGACGAACCCTGCATCTTCCAGAACGACTGGCTCACTGTTTTCTTCTTCGTTGACGATATTGTTTTCCTCTATCGCAAGGAAAACGAGGACGCAGCTGATGAGATGGTTGCAGCCCTCAAGAGGAAGTACGCGATGACAGACCAACGGAATTACAATGGTTCCTTGGTATCAGACTCTACGTTGCTAGGGATCTAGTTTCTTTCTTCAGTTTGCACTGCCCACTAGCCAGCACAACCTGGGGGGGTATGTCACACATAGGATATCAGCCTCCAACAGTCTGACCCCCTATTCGCACAGTCCGTTTCCACATTTCCCCACAGAAACTTCTAGGAGGCATCATCAACGCATCAGTGGCTTCCAGATGATCCGATCAGATGCTTCCATTCACTACCATTCCCTTCCATTCTCATATTCAGGCAGTCTATAAAGATCTCGCCTCTTTCCCACCTTAGATAGCAGAATCAAGAGTCTTCCAGTCCCTGATCTTTATGCCCACTTGCTCATCCTCCGTGCGATAGTACCGGCTAAAGCGGGACTCCGTAGTCCTAGATACGCTTTCCTAGAAGGATTAAGACCGGCTAATAGGAGCGGATATCGAGGCCCGGGATCTATAGCTTATCCTATAAGAAGCGCTATAGACTTATATAAGAGCTTCCTTAGTAAAGGAAGGCGCGGCGCTAATAGATAAGCCTTCCCTTATACCTTCGCCTCGGCTTAGTAAGGAAGGATAGACCGGCCTAAGGGTGCGTATAGTATAGGTATTCTAAGATAAGGTCCTTTAGCGCTTATAGGATAGGATATTATCTCTAGACTATACCTACGAGAGCGTGCGCCGCGCTATTAAGTCCGGCGCTCGATGCCTTAATTTAAAGCTAAAGCTAAAGGTATAAATAGCCGACTATTATATCGACTTATAGGGGCACCTATATTAGCGGGGGAGACTATAGGTGCTAGGCGCGCCGTATACTATAAAAGCTAAGGAGAAGGATAGACCGCTAAAGCTAGATAAATAAAATAAGCTCTAAGGGAAGCTAATCTAGCTCGTCTATAACTTTAGTATCGTAGGCTACCTAAGTAAGTAGGGTATAGTAGTAGGCCTTACGAGGGATTTCTACTAGCCCCTCTTATAGTACTACGTTCGCTACTTCCTTTATAACTATAATATCTATAGCTATACTAAGATTTAAAGAGCGTAGCTTAAAGGGCTACTTAAGTAGCTTTTAGTACCTAACTAGTTCTATATATATATATAGATAGACTTTATAATAGACCTCCTACTTATAAAAAGTAGTAACCGCTATATATAGGTAATTAAGGACTAATTTAGTAAGTTTATAGTATTAAAGCTAATACTATTTATAGATATAAAGTCCTATATAAAGCGCTTCCTATAGTACTAGGCCCGCTTATATAGCTAGCTAGCCTTTATTATAAGTAATAAGGGATCGAATTAAACTAGCCGCTTTTAATAGTACTTATACTAGCTACTTTAGATTATATAGCTACTTAGTATAGTATATTACTTATAGATTAATAGAGGGCCTAAGAGGGTTAACTAGGAGGCGTAAGCTTACCTATAAGCTATCGTAGCCTATAACTAAGTAGACTAAGACTATTAGCTCCCCGCGGCCTAACTTATATTAAATAGTAGACTATATACCTCTATTAAAATAGCCCCTTTTTTTATAATATATAGCTTTAAACTACCTTTACTAGTTCCTTTTACTATAGATATAGTAGCGGAGTAGTATAGTAATTTATTATTAAAGGGCCGCGCCTTTATATTTATATAAAAGCTATAAGAGACTATAGATTATTACTAATCTATAATAGCTACTATAGTATAAGATTAAGAGCGGTATACTAATAAGACTAGGGCCCTAGTAAATAGGTTTATAGTAAGAGATAAAGTATAGCTAGACCTCTATAACTATAGGTCGGTATAGCTAAAAAAAAAGCTTAACTAGCTATACGTAAAGTTTATAGTATAGAGGGTTATTAGCCTATAGGTTATAGAGCTCGATAGTCTCTTAATAAGGGTTTATAATAAGATTAACGTAGACCTCTTTTATAAAGCCTCCTTTAACCCGCTACCTAGATAAGAAGTAGCGGACGCTTAACCGCTTATAATTAAGGTAAAGGGAGAGGACGAGTTTAAGGTTAAAGAGATATAGGCCGCGCGCTAGAAAAAGGTTAGTAGGGGGAAACGCTAAGAGGTCCTCGTTAAGTAGCGCGGGTATCTCGACCTTATATAAGAACCTATATATAAGTTTATAAGAACTATAGCCCTTAATAAGTTTAAAGCCTTATTTAAAATAGTAGATAAGAACGATAAACTAGTAAACTATTAATAGTAGCTTAGGCTAAGACTATAAAGTAGGTATAATAAAGGGGGTAGTTATAGTAATATAGGTAATATAAGCGTAATAGTATAAGTAGAGATAAAAATAGTATTTATTATAAGGCAGAGCCCTTAAACTACCTAGGCCTATTCCTTATTATTATTATTATTATTACCTTTATTATCGTTATCCTTATCGGCCTCCTCCTTCTTATTAGTAGCGGCGGCGGTCTCTAAGGCGCTAAGGCGGCCCTCTAAGCCTATAAGCTAGTCGGCGGCGGCGGTAGCTCTAAGGGTAAAAAGGCAGCGGCTAGCGGCGGTAGTAGGGGCAGCGGCGGTAGTAGAGGCGGGCACGGGGGGACCGCCGATAGGGCGACGGAGGTAGTATCCCTAGCGCCGGGTACGTTAAAGGCGGAAATAAAGGAGCGAAGGAGTAGGACTTACTTAAGTATAAGGCCCTATCGCTTAAAGGCGTAGAGGTTACGGTAAGCGGCGGCGGCGGCGGTAAGGCGCTTCTTAGTAGCCCCCCGCGCTTACCCGTGCGAGCCGGCCTTCTAAGACGACGCTATAGTAAGTAGGATAGGAGGCGCCGCCTTATAGGCGCGGCCGGCTCGCGCGCACTAGTAGTAGCTACCGCCGCGGCGGCGCCTAGCCTAGTCGGAGTAGTCGAGCTCTTACGACGTATAACATATATAGGGGGCTAAGCGGAGGGCGCCGGCCTATACTTAGCGCTTATACTATAGGAGGTTAGCGGATAACGTTTATTACGCTTACTTAATTATAGACTTATAGGGGTAGCGGAGATAGAGGTAAGGGCCGAGGGGCCGGGCGTTATAGGTAGCGGCGGGGACGGCGTCGTTACCTTAAGGGGCGACGTAAGAGCGAATAGCGTAATAGAGGCGGCGGCGGCGGTAGTAGGAGCGGTAGTAGTAGCGCGGGTAAGAGCGGCGGTAGTAGCGGAGTCGTCGTCGGCCGCGGCTAGTATAGTATTAACGAACGACTCTATACGCTCTAAGAAGGAGGAGGTAAGAGAGGGAGAGGTAGATATATCTATCGCGGAAGTTAGTATAATAAAATACGGCCTTTTACTTTATAAAGCGCGGAACTTATTAATTAGAGTTATTATTATTATTAAGGCTATTATTACTACTACCGCTACTATTATAAGTATATATTAATAGAGCGGCCTATATAGCTAGGAATAGACTAACGCTTTAAGTAGAGCGGAACTTACCTATTAATACTATTACTATAGTTAAAGAAAAGAAAGAAGGAAGGGAAGGGGGAAGGGGGGGATACCGCCTTATATACCCCTTAGTAAAGGATACTACCTAAGGTAGAAGGGACGGGCAACCTAAGGCTTATATAGGTTTAGATTAGCCGCTAGCTACCTAAGGGCGTATATAATAGGTTATGCCCTTATTTAAACGGCTAGCCGGCTAATAAGTATAAAGCTAGGTCCTAGCTACTTAAGCTAACGGGCGCGGGGATAATAGGGCTAGTAGGGCCGGCCTTATTAATAGGAAAGGGTATAAAAGAGCTTATAGTATAGGCCTAATTATATAGGAGCTATTAATAGGGCAGCGCTATACCGCGCTTAAGGGAGGGTATTATATAAGAGTCTTTAACTATTATAGGTAATAAGCTTAGGCTATAGCTTAAGCTATATAGTTATATATAAAGGGCTAGATCCTATAAGTATAAAGGTAGGCTAGCCGCGTATAAAAGAGCTCTATATAGCTTATTAATATTATCTTATAGATAGCACCTATACTTATACCTCTACCTACTCTATAATACTAATACCCTACTAATATATTAGTACTATATACCTAAGTACTTTATTAGCTTATACCTCTTAGTAGCGCTCTTATAATTATCTCCCTTCTTATATAGACGTCTTAGCTATATCTTTAATATATATTACTTTTACTATACTATATATATTTAGTTAAGAAAAGAAGTAGTTTCGGTTATATATCGCGCGTATACGCTTATATAAGTATATATTAGTCTACGCTCTATAACGTTAATAGTTATTATACTAGTAGTTACTACTAAGTAACCGTTATAGTATCGCTTATATATTAGCCGCGTAACTATAATATAAAGAGTATATATATATATCTCTTATTTCTTTTATTTTCTTTTCTTCTTTAACTCTTTTACTTATAATTACTATAGAGTTTTATACCTTTTTTATTAATCCCTTATACCTTTTTATATTACTTTTTATTAATAATTTATTAATAATAATACCTTTTACGCTAAAAAAGATAAAGAACTATAACGCTAATTTCTTACGCTATATATAAGAGTAGGTAGTAGTAGGTTTACCTTTAAAGTATAAGCGATTAGCTTAGAAGTCTTATAGTAACGCTAGTTTCCCTTTAGTAAAGAAAGCTAAGAAAGGTATAAGGGAATCTTAGTCTTAAGAGACTTTTAGTCTAAGACCTAACGTTAGCGAGGGTCGTGCCCCTATTACCCTACTAAATACCTTAACTCTAGCTATTAATAAGCCTACCTCTATAAGCTAGGAAACTTATAAGTTTATTACCCTTATTAGCGATATTAATACTAGTAAGGAGATCGTACTTAAGTACTCTTAGGTAAGTGCCGATAACCTAGCTACTCTATCTTAATAGGGCGGCTCTAGCTAATAAGAGATTATCGCTTAGGCCGCTCCTTAAAATAAGTAGGCCGATATTAATAATAAGGCCTAGCTAAATAAGGGCTAAGACTATCTTAATACCTAGCTAAATAAGGGCTAAGATAATAATAATAGTAATAATAAAGATAGCCGCGATTTAACTCCTCTTACTAATAAACTTAAGAATAGCGATGCTAGAGATAA